AGAATTAACTTTAATGGCAGCTAGCTGCTCTTTTATCAGCACTGTCCTAATAAACACTGATACGATACGCGAAAAATGTGACCCAAACTTTTAATGAAATCAAACATTTCTTAAGTGTAGCGATTTGGCTGAGAGAGTAACTCTCTAGCCAATATTTTAAGGTTTTTACAAAGTAAACTGAATTTTGCAACATTTATCAATTTTGATTGTAGGCAGAAAAGGGCATTTGATGTGGTCAATATGGATCCACGTAGAATCAGGCCATCTAATTTCAAGTACTTTTCTTTAGAGAAACTCTTTTGCGGCGAAAAAAAAACAACTTTGATAGCGGCTAGGCTGGTCACAGCGGCTTTTAGTTGTCAACACATAGAAGCGCCTTTAGCACTCTCCTTTGCCATGGGACCAAAAGAGGCCATAGATAGGGGTGTTTCCCAAGCCTTTGAAATACCGTCCACGGTACTAAGGGTTTTTCGGGCTTCGCCAAAAGCAATACAGCTTTCACTCTGCGACAGAAATAAAAAGCTAGGCAAATTTGCTGTCAAGTATGTTTCTAACTTGGCGACTGAGGTTTGTATAACGCGCATCACATCTTTGGGGTGAAGCACAGCATTAGACTATCAATGTTAAGTGTCTTTGAGTACCTTTGCCGCGTTTTGGTTTGATGCAGGCTAAAGTTTAATGCCGTGGACAGATCATGCATGGTAATTAAACATTACATTTTAACCTTCAGGTTGCATTCGCTTATTCCGGTTTGAATGTAAAAGGTGAGTTCATCTGCATATTTGTATTACAGCAGTTTGCATTTGGTTGTGTTTTAAAAGTTGAACCAAAGTCCGTTCAAACTCCGAGGAGCCAATGGGAACGCAAGGGAAATGCATTTAGCTGACGCCAAAAAGAGGGAAGTGAGTGCCTGCAGTCACTATGGGACCGTGAGTTACTCACTGATCTGATTGGTCAAGAGACGTGACGTTTGTTTGACCAATCACACACTGAAGCAACCCCGAACTTAATGTATGTGGTTTAAAAGCACTTAAAGACAGTGGTAGCAAGATCATAACATCTCATTCAGCACTTGTGAGATCCTTAAGTTTGGTAACACATGACACAAACGCAAAGAGACCGATTCTAGTTTCATTTGTAGCCGAACTACGAGGAAAGTTCTAATTCTGAAAATTTGGAATTGGACCTTCCACAGGAAGCCCAAGGAATAAAAATTAATTTAGTTATCAAAAGATTTATTTTACACTGAATCATATGATGACGTTGATGACAATGAATGGTGAATACACTGACTACTGACGTCATTACTTTGCAGCTGATTCTAACACCCCAGGGAACTCGGGGGAGAACACCTTTGATGATGACCTTGCAGATTATCCGCACGTCATAGACGATCATATCCCTGGGATAAACGATGGTGATAATGACAATGACAATGATGATGGTGATATTGGTGATGAAGGATTCTATGATGATGACAATGATGATGACGACGATGGAAGTGAAAGCTTGCGACAGGGTCTTGTCAGAGGTTCTAATTCGTCGGTTGTTCATAAAAAAGACGAGGTTCGCTCGTCGGGTGTCAAAAACACAAGCCCACAGCAGCAACACTCACCAGATGATAGCGAGATAAATGAGTCTGGCTTGTCTGAAGATATTGATGATAAAAGTGGCGGAAGCGGAAGTGGAAACGACGAGGGCAAAGGTCAAGGGGTATTTGCAAGGTAAATTAAGTATCTTCTGCATGCTTGTATAAATTAAGGCAAAGGACCATGCGGAGCTCCCTGATATGGGCGTGGGACTATCAAATCCATAATAACAGCCAAAAATTTTTAGATCGCCCTACGAACAACCACTGACATCCCTTCGTTATTCTGTCATATAGCAGGAGACCGTAACCCGGAGCGCGCAACTTCCATGCGTTCGTGTCACGGCGTTTTCACGGACCCGTTTATTTTTTAGAACGGTTTTGGCGCCAATTTTGAATGTGTTTTAAATTCCAAAAACCAGTAAGCAAAACTTACAGACCTAAAAGTGATATTTTGTACCTTTTAATAACGCTTAGTTTTCCATTTTGATATCTTATGCTTCGAATGCGCTCATAGACATGGTGGAGATTCTATTTTCGTGGGAAATAGTGCCCTGAAATGTGTCTAAAAATAAACCGGTCCGTAAAAATGCCGTGACATAGGCCTAGTATAGTAACTGCTCGCTCCAGGTTATAAGCTCCTGCATACAGTCACTCATCCATCCCAGAACCCATCCATCTATACGTCCATTCATTTTTCAGGGTCTTTGCATCACGTGTCTCTCCTATCTTTTGTTCTCTCTTAGTTTTTATGAAGGCAAACTTTCCTCCTTTAGTTCAACTTTAACTTTTGTACACCTATCACTTACAACATTATTTACAACCGAATAAAAAAATGACTATAAGGCTTACAAAAGAAATTAGGTTTGCTTAACAAAAAAGACCATAAAGGCTTTCATTTCAAAGTTTAATCTATTTTCAATAGCCAGCACGTTTCAGAGGAGGAAGGCAGCAGTGACGAAGAAGCTTCATCGAAATCACATGAAACGGAAAATAGCGGCAACGAAGAACACGAATGGAATAATGATCATGCTGCTGTAAGGTACAACTTGTTGCACAAGCGACCAAGGAACATGATAAAAAAGGTGACTGAAGACTCCAAAAACGGTGAAAAAGAAGAAAACAATTCTTCAGGGGATCAAGATACAAATGAAGAAAATGCGGAGCAAAATTCTGGCTTCTTAACTAGTTATGCTCCAGAAAATGATACAATTGGATTAGGGGTGGGAGACGAACACCCTATTTTAAAGCCACACCCTAAAAATGTGAGCGTTTCTTACAATCATACCATAACCAAGGAGAAAGAAAAAGAGAAAGTGATATTACCGACGCAAAGTGATGGAGGGGTTACAGGGAATAAGACTGATGTCACTGATAGACAAGATGAGAACAAGAAGAGTAACAATTCAGTAAAATCAACACAACTCAAAGATACATTGTCACATGATGTACACAAAGAAGAAAAGGAGAGCAAAGTAGAGAAGTCATTAAAAGCTAAGCATAAAGGAAGTGTTCAAAATACCCAACCTCATCACAGACCTGTGAAGAAAGAGCCCGTTAGGACTGGTAAGGTCTCCCCACACCTTGCCAGAAAGAAACTACATAACAAGTACTTGGCATCCCATGTAACCCATCCACATACGTCGGAAAGTCATAGGAAAGTCACGCACGCCAAGACTATCAGAAAAGGTATGGCGTATACATGTCACGCAGTTACGTTACTCTGGAAACTTTTTTTGTAGAATTAGTACATTGGAAATTTCTGTAAGCGATCCATCAAGGCTTAAAACTGCAATCTCAATGCCGGGACTTTTTCCCTTAGAAAATAAGGGAGGGGCAGGCGCCCCTCTTCTGACGGGAAAAGCCCCCAAGGTTGCTAACACTGAGGCTGAACTGTTTCTTCTTTAACACGAAAATATCATTTTTTGTTTTCAATGTCTTTATCTGACACCATTTCAGCTGCCCCATCCACGTGCCAATCAGACAAGATCTTGGCAGGGCACTCGTTAAAAGGAGGGACTCGGGCCGGTCTTTTTGAAGTTTTGGGCGACACTGCGAGCATGCAAGCGTGTCTTCAGCGGTGCTGCTCTAAAAAGACATGTGACGTTGCACTTTTGATTGACGGGCGATGCTATGGAGTGGACTGCTACAGTGACGATCTCTGTAAAGCAATTCCAGTACCTCATCCGCACTTTATATTCTCGCAACTTGGGTTCATAAATAAAGGACAAAAGAGAGGAGACATCGAGAGGAAACAAGGTAGGAGAAATGCAACTTCATAACTGGGGATTGACCTCTTTGAAGGGTGAGGTGGGGGGCACTCAAGGGTAGTTTGGAGAAGAGGTGTGTCGTCTAGGCCTTCAAACCCTGACTGGCCTGTTGAGGCAAAAATCGTTCATTTCCCTACCCAGTTAAAAAAAGGCAGCTTATTTCATGACCTGATTCACTTCGTTTCGCATACAGAATTAAGTTATAATGTAATGAGATTTTCCTGGAAAAAAATTCTTAGTACCAGAAATGTAGACCTTTTAAAGCAAACCTTCACTCTTTGAAAAGGCTTCCGTTCCAAAAAGACACTTTGCATGTTTAAGACCCTAAATAGTGAAACTGTAAACCATGTTTAAGATATTAAGACCCTGAAAACCACACTCTGTTCAGAGGCACACAAGTCAGCACAAGTCAGCGTCAGAAAGTTGACGAAAGGTTCGTTCTGTCCTTTAACATTGTTTTTTTTTAGAGTTTCACTGTCAGTATGGAAACCTCACTCTGCGGAATAATGAAGAATGGAGTGGTGAACTGTGCGGAGGAGTGGTTAGGTGTAAAAATGGCATCGTCACCGTTAAAAAATGTTCAGGAATCCCACCCAAACCAGACGACTGCACCAAGCCACGTCTGGTTGTGAAACATCAGAAAGGAAAATGCTGCCAGATGAAATGGAAGTGTAAAGGTAACCTGTGTAAAATTCTGGGCTAATGGTCTTTACACGGGTTTAATTTAAACCCTTAAACGACGGCTTCGGTTGTTTTCGTTCCATATGGAACGATACATGTTTTCCTTTTTGGACCCATTTAGCGTTCAGTTTAAGCTAATAAGTTGGTAAGCAACAACGTCAGCAAAGATTGATCTTTCCACTGATACCTCGTTTTAGCTGTTATGACCAATCCTGACAGAAGTACTCTCGCAAAAAAAGTAACCTTGGGAGAATTACCAATTTCGCTATCGCTGTTCACCTAGTACTCTTTGAAGCTTAAATCAATCTCGTACCCAGATCTCCCACGGCCAAGGTGTAAAACAGAGTGAGATCTGGGTACGAGATTAAGCTTAAATTTGTCCCTTTCTTAAAAAATTAGCCAGCTACAATTATTTCTGGAATCGTTACTGTGGACGCGCCAGTCAGCTATAGAGAGTAAAAGTGTGACGTCACGTTACCATGGTAGCAAATTGCTGGATCTGGGCCACCATTTTGTTCCTGAGTGCAATTATGCACAGGAAAGTCATACACGAGATGAATGTTTTCCTTTTTTCTGCCATATTTGCAGGATCACTGTTTGTTGAGATCCAGAGATTTTGCTACCATGGCAACGTGACGTAACAGCTTCTTCTCCCTTTAAGCCAATTTTTTTCTTCTGTCTGTAGTAACAGTCCGAGAAGTCTTTGTGAACGTTAACTAGATCCAGTTTCCCTCTCGTTTCGAAATCGGCAAATTTTATTATTGCTGGTTTGCACGTGACGTCACGGCGGCCATGTTGGTGGTCAAAAACGGAAGCATTTCTCTCCTCTGGGAACTAAACTCTGTTTTCACGTAAATTCTTTTTGGAAAAAATTCTATAGAGCGTTTTCACTAACGTGGCCAGCATCTACGGTAATTTATTGGAAAAAAAGAAAGCATTTACATGAGAAAAGAGTTCAACTCCCAGAGGATTTTCTGAGTACACCAACATGGTCGCCATTTCATTGTTTTGGAACACCAATATGGCTGCCGTGACGTCATGTGAAAACGCTCTATTGTATTGACCCCCAACATGACCGCCTGACCACGTGGTTGCAAACCAAGAATTAGTAAATCCTTGTTAATGATTTCGTATTTTGCTTAATATAGCAAGGCACTGTATCTTTAACAATCGTCTGATCAAGCATGGATATACACTCAGTGATCCTCTTTGTACCGGAATTGTCAGTTGTTATAATGGACATTTAAACATGGAACACTGTCCCAAGATACCTGACAAGCCTAAAGATTGTGCACGACCAAAGCTCAAGACCATCAGTATTCCTGGAAAATGCTGTAAAAAACTTTGGGTTTGTTCAGGTAACCGAAATTAGTAAGGCTTTAGTCATTGCTTCAAGTAATTGACTCTATCAAGAAAGAATAGAGAGCTTAAACAACCACGACAGCGGCGGACGAAAACTTAACTTAAACAGTGAATTCGCGCTGTTTTAAACTTCAACGCCCACATTCATCTCGTCCAATTTGTCACATGTTGCGGACTTTTTCGGGTCGAATTCTAGAGAAATTTATACTGAGAGAAATAAAAAGAATATGGTTGTCTAGTGTTCACGTCCTGCATAAAACTTGAAATTACGAAGTTTTAGCTCAAGCCGTAGTCGTGCAACGATGGTAAAGAAATATGCAAAGAGTGATGCACGTGCAAAGTTGTCATTTTGCCATTGTTTTTTTGGAGTTCTCGTTGCGGTCGTCTTCGTCGTTGCTGTTTAAGCAAACTTTTAGTTTCCTAAACCTAGACCAGGAGCCGGCTCATGACTGATTTCGTACAGTAAATTTTGCCGAAAAGTCAATATCCTTTACAAGAACTTGGGTCAAGCACCTCGACCAAGGCTACGAGGTTGCGCCCCGCGGCATTGCTCAGTCTCCTGTCACGTGATCAGCGTAGCCATGTGACCTTGCAGTCGCTATCTTGAAAACGACAACGTTTCTAGCAAAAGGACAAGTTATTTCTTTTTTCCTCTTTTTTTTGTCGAAGGTCTTTCGAAAAAAATACAGGCGGTAAAAGGCATTACTCGGTTAAAATTATTTTCCATCAATTTCATATGATAATCTAAAAACATTGTAAATGCAAAGGTGCTTTATGTGATACGTGTTCGTGAATTCAAGAAATCGAATTGAAAAGAGAGAAAATCGAAATCAACAGTTCTCACTGGGTTTTAGTATCGCCGGAATGTACCTGGAGGACCCTTACCACCTCCCCCTGAGCAAGAAAGGGAATCAACAACAAACTCAGCCCGCATAAGACTTGAACCAAGGGCAAATAATGTGAAGTAAGTGAAGTCAGCACTGCTCCCCGCCCAATATGAAAATATTTCATGTAAAAATTTCAGATCAATTAAGCTTTCTGTGAAACTTTCAACCTACCCTTCCCCTAAGCAAACATTAACACTTACTTATTATTTAGGCAAAATGTTGGGTTAAGGGAGGGGTAGGTGGGCAGTTTCCCAGAAAGCTAAGCCCCAGCATCTCTTTTTTCAGACAAAAGCTGCACATATGATGGTCTCAAGCTGTCGCATGGTGAGAAACTCACAGACGCGTCATGCGCAATTGTTATGGAATGTAGAAATGGCTTCCTGCGTAATAAGCAGTGCCCAAGTCCCCCTTCCGTCCCTCGTACCTGTATCAACCCAACATTGAAGGTCAAGCGAATCCCAGGGGAATGCTGCGAAATGAACTGGAAATGTGAAATAAGCTAAGAATGTACTTTTGCATTAAAAGGTTAGTACGAGAATAGTAACTACATCGGGGCCACCTCGCATGACAAAGTTGAAATTCCAGCTACGGTGAATTTCACGTGTACTTTTCAGATCTCCTTAAGGAAGGGGAGAGTATGCTAAACATCACTCGAGGCAACACATTATATGCGACGACAGTGGATCAAATATATAATCAACTAAATTTTTCCCTCGTGCAGCCTAATATTCATCATTAAGAGATCAGCTATAGCATTTCCTGTTCGCCACTCTATGAAAGAACTACAGGAAGAATGGATACAGGGTCTGGCTCGTTTGGGGGAATGCTATCGTCAAATCATAACTATCGCCTGTCCACCACCAAAACAATCCCAGAAATCCTTGCACTCAAGGTTGCACCCGTTGTTCTAAAGTTTACGTAGCAACTAAATATATATAAAAGAGAAAGTTTAGCCAAAGCATGTTTCAGTGATTTGGCTAGCCACTCAACTTTTTGTAACTTTTTTTGACTCTATCATCAGTTTAATGATTGAAACTTAAATGCGTAAATAAAATGGATATGACACATAAATTTCTACCCGACTGAAAGAAATTATATAATATTTATTTTGATAATATAGCTCTAGTTGTAAACAAAATTTTTTCTAATACTTTTATTATGAACTTAATTAAAGCTAACGGAATGATATTCAGTAAAACCTTAGTCACCTACACGACGTAAACGATAACTGTGCACTAAATGCATTATCTTGCTTAAAGCCTTCTGAGCAATAGCACCATTTGAATAGTCAAAAATCTAACATACTGCCAATATTAAAGAAATAAACTTTATTTTGTTTCTTAGTACTGCAAACAAACAGTACTAGGCGAATCTGCTGCTAAAGAAGGTTCGGTTTAAATAATTAAATTATCAAACTATGAGGTTTTGTGCAGAGATTCAAGAAGACTTACCTTTAGTCTAAGGATATGAACAATAAAACACGCACGTCTTAAGAAATAAATGAATCCACATTTCAGTCGTTATAAATATAACAAACTACTGAGCCGCAATTATCAGCCTCAGAATTTATTGACAATATCAAATTTCTACAGCTATTTTTTTTCATGCCTTCTACAGTTCGGACACCCAAAGAGTCGCTTCGTCTAATGTATATGTCATGCCACACATATATCGCGGAATCAAAATGACGTCATAATGGACGTCAAATGGACACTATATATTATTGGAAGAAATTTTGAAGAGGCAGGAAGCAAGGCTGTCTAACACAAACTCCTTCTTTAGAGAATACTGGAAATATAGCCTGTGTTGAAGCCAGCTTGTCGCCCAAAACCTACAGAGATAGAGAACTCGAAATAGTTTTCTGTATTGGGGATTTAGACTGTTTGCGACGCCGGCTTGGAAAATGATGCTCGAGTTTCGTTTTAAGGAAAACAAGAACGTTTTTTCCAAACATTTTAAACGAATGAGATATTCAACAAATGACAAATTCTTTTTAAAGACCTGGTAAGTCCAGTAAAACTCTGAAAAGAAACATGAAATTGTTCCTGTAAAGCATTGGGCGAAGTCGGCTCATTGGGTGTCTCAAATTATCTACTCAATTAACTAATATTGTAAGCCAATAATTACGTCCAAATATTATTTACATGCTATACTTAACCGAGGGTCTAGACCCGGGGGATTTCCCTGTAAAAAGTGACGGGACCCTCGTCAGACGTTCACGGGTAAAGGGCATTGATTCCCGGGTCAAGACCCCGTTAAAAGCGTTAAAATACGTTAGAATTTCTAACGGCTAAATTTAGCAAAAAGCTATCCTGGGGGCATTTTTCATCGAAATAATATGTATAAATTTTTCTGCTAAATAAATGTTTGTTATTTTTGTTTAATGACCCTCCCTTTACATGTATGAGATCTACGCAATAAAAATGGTTTACTGGACGTAGATGGTCCATGTTGACCCTCAGAAGCGCAAAAAGCTTGCACGCGCTTGCGTGGTCAGATTCCGATTGAGCCTGAATTCTCATCGTGACGTGCAAAGCATTCTGGGTAAGCATGGGCCTGCTTTCTAAATCTGCAAATGCGTGCAACGGCAAACTAACAATACTACTAAAGAAGGTATAAACTGTGCTTTATATTGAAACAGAATCTAATGGAACACGATACTTTCATGGCGTAACTTATAACAGCACTAGAGGAAGTTTTCGCTGTTTTCGCACCTTCTTTCAGAAGGCATTAAAACAGACTATTTTAAACAAGTTCGCCACTTTAAAACCGAGAAGGAAACTGGGCCGAGTAAACTTTCGCAAAGAATTCTGGGACTGTTACTGGGAGTAGGGAAAAAATGGCCAATAGCTGACCGGCGCGTCCCCAGTAACGATCCCTGAAGTCTCTGCGAAATCTAACTCGGCTCAATTTGCTTCTGGTTTATAAAGTGGCGAATTTACAGGTCAGATAAACAGCATCTCTAATAAAAAGCAATGAGTTTTATCTTGACTGCTATTGCTAAACATCTTAACTACAAGATTTGTAACCTGTGTTTGCGTATCTGAAATCTATTGAATCTACCGTCTTAGAAAGGAGAAATCTGACCTTCCTAAATTGCATGAGTTTCTCAAAAACGAAAGTATAAGCAAAAAAGTAATTCCACACTTCTGACACCAACACGTAAATAAAATAATGAAATTTATATACATCGTAGCAAAAATAAATTTGATGCAGATATTGTGTTCGTGTGAATAACTCAATAAAATAACTATTAGCGATATTTTAAGACAAGGCTCGAAGGAGAGAAATTGTAGTCTATTGAGAATCGTTAAAAAAAATTGTTTTTCTTCTAATAATTCACATGAAGTCACCCTCTTTACCTGGTATTTGAGAAACTCAAAGCCTCGTGTCAAGTCTCCCCGAATAGCGTTTTTGTTCCCATTTTTTTCCATCCCAGTTTACAAGGGAACTTCCCTAGGAATGAGCTTGCCCGAGAAAGGACCTTTGTTAATAATCGGCTCCTGCTGCAGGGGCCCGTTTCTCGCAAGGCCAAGTAACGTTTTGGGCCCGAAGGAAATTTTTAAAATCAAAACCTGCTGAATAGTAGCACAGTGCCTAGCTCACAAACCTTCGTTAATTGATAGATTCATTGCATTATTTTCAAATTATTGAAACTTTGATCTTGAAAGCAAACACAACAAACAAAAAACAGCATTTCGGGCCCGAACAGTTACAGGGACTTTCGAAAAACGTGCCCCCTGCCTTAGAAAGGGCTTAGTTCTCAGGCTCTTTATGTCAATGGTCGCATGGTCCCTTTAATTTCATGGTTACAAGACGGCCTCACATCCTTCGAGCCTTGTTCCTTATTTGTGGTCATTTCGGTTCTCAAAGCCCCTTTTAGACAAAAAAAAAAACGTGAAATACGTTCTTTTTTTACTCGACAAAGTACCGAGGGCTCAGGGAACAAAAACGAACCGTGGCGGCAAAGCGGCTGTGTACTGTTTTGCGCTTGCGCAAAAGCGTTAAAATAGAAACCGTCACTTATCGCAACTACTTTATCAATAAATTATACTTTTATCTTAAAGATAATATCATTTTCACATACGCCTGTGCTTGTACTATATCTAAATGCGTTCTCAGTGTAACCATTTTACTCCTGGGCCGAGTTGTTCAAAGCTGGGTTAACATAACCCAGGGTTGCTAAATTTGAATTGAGATTTGAAGACTTAAAAAGTAAATTCAGTTTAATTCTTTTTGTCAAGAAGTTGATGATTGGATACTGTTAAAAATAATAGAGAAAATTATCCGGGAAAATGCTTTAGAACAAAAGAAAAAGAAACCCGGGTTAAAATTAACCCTGGTTTAAGTGCTAATCGCCCTTCCAACAACTGGGCCCTGGACGAAAACGTGAGTCTATACAGTTGAAACTGTATTATCTCCACGGTGAAGGATGTTATTTTCTATAAAATGGCTCTACTTTGCCTAGAACACACTAAACCTTATCCTCTACTCTTGAAACGCATCGCATTCGATACGTTTTAGCCTTGCAACAATGCCAGAACGTTGACTAACCAGTTAAAAATGGTGTCGTTCAAAAATGCTTTTGAAAGTATTTTCTTTGAAAACGATAATACGATTTGAATCAGTTGTCCATGACTCATTATCAACTATGTAAAAGAATCCGATTCCAAACGAATACCTTTTTACAAACGTGGGTGAAACGGATACATCAACGTGAGTCTGAAAGCAAATCTGATTCCCTGATTATGGAATTTACTAGGCTGATTGGACCTAGGATATTCTTTTGAGTCGCGGCTTATTTACAATGAACTTCTTGGTATGTTTTTCCGATGAGATCATGTCAGCGATAAAATAATGAAATCTGACATTTATGTAAATCTGCCATCTTCCAAAAAATATATATACTCCACGTTGTCGTAAGAAAAATACTGCGATTGGCTTGGTTAAAAGGTTTGAGAGACTTACTAAATTGACCTTTTCCCCTTCTAATCAAGCGGGAGAAACGTTACCCGTTAAATTAATTATTATTGTCAAAGTGATTTTACGGCTGACTTGCTAACAAGTCAACAAAAGTCACTTCAAACAGCCACCTCAAGTGAAAACTCTTCTATTCTCCAAGGTAATGATGTTATGGAATTCTAAATCTCGAGTGCGTGGATGAAATCATTACGAGAGATCTTTCAAATCAAAGCTTCTTTTTGGTAGTATCTTTTGATCTTCGTTTTATATTTTTGATGAATTTAATATTGTTTGGGAGCGAGGTGTTATAATCAATAAAGTTACCTGTTAGCTACATCTGGGACTGATGCGCTAGCATAATCTGGCAACCTTCGTTAACATGATCCATAACTCGTTGTTTCAAATCACAGACTTGCTGCTTTAGAGCATTGGCAACTGCATTTAATTCAATATTCCTCTCCTTAAGTTCTTTAACCCTCGTTTCGAGTCTTGCTTCGCGTTCCAGTTTTCTTTTACGGCACTTCGACGAAGCAATTCTGTTCCTCTGTTTTTTTCGCTCTCGTTTCACGATCTCTTGAACTTCCAGATCAATCGGCTGAAGAGAACCGTGATCGGAGATCATTTGCGCTTGATTTTCCAATTTATAACCGGATAATTCTCCCTTTTCTTGCGCCAGCGCGCTGTTATATGATGCAAAAGCCCGAAGGGTGGCTGAATTTTCCATGTTGAAATCGTGATAAGCCGAATATG